AATGATCACAGTGTGATGTTAAGTGAAAAGGCGGAATACAAAATTGCATATATATTCGGATCCCATTTGTGCTTTTTGACATGTGCATTTGTTTAAAACACATATTTTCGCTGAAAGAACAGGAATTAGAAAATGATGGATCTAGGTCAGCGGTTCTCACTGGGGGTGCTTTTGCCCCCTCAGGGATCTTTTTCAATGTCTAGAGACATTTTTAATTTCATGCCTTGGCGGGGGCGGGTGCTGCCGGCCTTGATTGGGCAGAGGCCGGGGTGCTGCTGAGCACCCCACGATGCACGGAACAGCCCCGTCCCCAACAAAGAATGATGCAGCCCAACATCACTAGTGATGGTTAGGGAATTCTGCTCTACCTTCCCATCTTCATCCTGTCTCTTTCTAAGATGAGCAAATTTCCTGACGCCCCCTCCTCCTTCCCTCCTTCTCTCTCTTTCATTTTTCCTTCCTTTCTCTTTCTAACATTTATTGAGGCTTTAGTGTAGGTCAGACACTGTTCTCGGCGTTTTCTGTGTATTAAGCAACATTAGCACACAACAACCCCATGGGTAAGTACTGTTATTGTCATCCTAGGAGACAAAATCTCTTCAAATTGTTTTGAGGTTTCAAAAAAGTAATTCATCCACAGTGCTTAGTACAGGGTCTAATGTACAGATGAAGAGACAGAGGTTTAGATAGATAGATAGATAGATAGACGTGTGTTTATGTGTCTGCATATACACACACACACACACCATTAACGTGCTTGTTGTCCGTGCATACTATGATAAACCTGTAAAAATGGGTAGTTTTGCATGATGGAATCAGAGCAAAGTTTTATGTTTTCCCTTTATACTATGTTTTATATTTTTCCATATTTATGCTTGTCTATAGCTCTGTTTTCTTTCATATGTAAGAATCACTTTTGTTACCAAAACAATATATTAGAACCTTGGAGAGCTGAGGGGCTGGCTGTGAGAACAGTCTTGCTCCACGAGAAAGTTGAAAGAAACTCTATTTCCATTTAGCTGTGTGACATATTTTACTAAAATAGGGCTCTGAGTCTCATTGCCAAAACAAAGCTTGAGACCTCTGATCCAACACGGTCAAAATTAGTGCCCCAGATCCTGCTTGGAGCGACCAATTGGTTGCTCTATTTTACCGTGGCTAGCTCCCTGGGGATTAATTATTTCCAATTGATCTTATCATGCGACAGAAAGCTTCCTCGTTTCCCCTTAGGACGACCCATCTTATTTCCTCTCACATCAATGATGCCGCTGTGGGGAAGACGCGTCTTAACCCTGTGGGTTTTCAATTTTGTATCCAATTTATCTGGGGAGATCTTAAGAGACACAAATGACCCATCCCTATCCTGAGCTTCTGATTTGTCTTGCCTGGGGCTAGGAATCCTTTTTTCTTAAAGCTCCCCAGAGCTTAGAACAGGGAGCCAGGTTTGAGAACCACTCAATTATGCCTTAGGCGTAATCATGCTCGCTGTCCTTGAACTGGCCCAACGAGGGGGGTTACCCTTCCTCAGATGCAGCCTGCATCAGGGCAGCTGCATGCTGCCCTGGGGAAGAGGATGACTGCGGACCAGCAGTGCCCCCCTCCCACAAGTGCTTACGTGTATCAGTAGCCCTGACTGTCAGAAAGCTCTTCACCCTCGTGCAAGCCTCAAGACCCCACGGAACTGGTTCAAGGCCACATGCTAGGCCTTGAAGAGCCTCACGTGCCTCCTCAGGCTTCTCCAAGCAAACATTGCCAGTCTTCTCGGGCATCCTTTAGGCAGCACACACACACCTCACATTCTGATTCTTGGTTCCTGCTTCCTGTCAAATGTGTTGTGCATCTTCCTGCTATAGCTGATTGACACATGCCTTGTTTTACTGCTCGTTTCTGAAGTCTGAAGAATCTGGCTAATTATCGTTTCTCCCGTTGGGTAGAACTTTCCACAGCAGGACACCTGCCCTGAATGCTGTAGCTCAGCGCTCAGATCCGGGAGGGTTGTTGGCTGAGTACACAGCTGGGTGACTATGGGGGGAATTTCTCTTTGCCGTGGGGGCAAGTACATCCAATCGCTAATTGAGGTGGACCAACAAAATCCCTGCCCTTTTGCCTAAATCTTTGAAGTCCTTAAAGGGCCCTCCCAACTTCAGAGCTGCTCAGACATGTCTCCCACCTAAGACCTCTGCTTCAGCCGCTCAGGCCAACCTTGCCCTCTGCCCAATTCTCTGGACTTAAGGATGGAGAGAGAGGAATCAGAGCACTTTCCACAACAGGAATGACCAAGCAGCCTTGCCACTATATAACCCTCCTGCTCCAAAATTTCCAAAGCCCTGCAGAGCGCCTTAAAATGCAGGAGATTGGCTGGAGGTCTGGAATGCCTTAGAACTTAGCACTGGCCAAGGCAACAGGGCACAGAGAGGGAAGCTGAGCTGGGCCTCCATGCACGTGCCCCTTCTCACTCCATCAGCATCTCCCTCAACCCTCGGGGGCCACTCTGGTGACGTCCATGCATTCCTACCTGGCTTAGTCCTACTCACCTGGTCCACCTTGACTTCTGCCCCGGAGACAGTGTCCACCTATTCCAGCCCTGATCCCCAGCTCTGATCTCCATCCTGCAAGTCTTCTGGCTTTCTCACCTGGCCTCCTGAACAGGCCCTTGCCCTGGACTCCCAGCCTGCCCGGCTCCTCTCCCTATCCTCCTACCAGCCTCAGAACACAGGCTGTGAAGGCCTGTAAGGCCCACCCAGCTGCCTCATTTTATGACAACCTTCCAGTCTGAATTTCTAGCTTCAGATCCGTAGACTCAACAGACCACAGGATATCTCCACCTGGTGATCCTTGGTGGGGCACCTCCAATTCTCTGTGTCCCAGCACTTCATTTTCTCCTCCGTGCATCAAACCTTTTCTTTTAATCGTGTTTTACATGTTGGTTGAGAATGGCATGACATTGTCACTTGGGATTATTGCTGCAATAAATTAAATACTTGAAAGAAGTTATGCAAATATGTGTTTGGGAAAATGCTGCCAACTATTTCAGCTGGTACTTATTGAGTGCCCACCATGCGTCAGACTCTATACTGGCAAAAGATGCAGACCCTTGCCTCAGAGAAGTCAGAGTCTGGTAAGGGGACAACATGGTCAGCCGCACCATGTTCTCAGCACCCAAGCCTGAATCCTGGGCGATTTCCTAATTCCCTGATGTCCCTTCTCTCTCTGCACCCATCACCATCATCATGTCCTTTAGCACAGGTCACCTTCAGTAGACCCCTCACCACTGTCCTGACAACACCCCACGAGCACAGGGCAAAATCTGAGCTCTTCAGCTGAGCTTGGAGGGTCCTTTTCTTAATTGCTTCCCTTCCTACCTCCTCTGCACACAAACCTGAACCTTATTGAACTGTTTGTTTTCAAAAAACACGCCAGACTCCCTTGCGCCTATCCTGGGATAGCCATCCCTCTGCATGGCATATCCTCCTTCACATGACAATGGACAAAGTCCTTTCTTTCCTTTAAGCTTGAGGTTAAATATCTCATCTGTGGAACCTTCTTAAAGTTACTAGGGACAGTGGTATTGCTCCTTTGTCCTTTGCTTGATCTTGCATGTCCCTCTATTTCCCAGATATTGTGAGACCCTTGTACACACTGGTGTCTCCAAACGGACTCTTAAGTTCTTCGTGGGGTGTGCATCCTTAGCACCTGGCTGAGAAACTAAATATACAAACAAACAACAGCGAGATCACACATAAAAACAGAACTTTGATCCAAAATTTGCAGCAACCAGCCCTGGAAACTCACCCATTATCTACCATAACCAGCCCAAGGAGTCAGTCTGCCATAAACTAGACTTGTAGGAAGTCAAACCACCATCTCTAGTAACAATCCGGGAAGCTATACAATAACCCCTATCATAATTGGCCCCAAATGGCCTTGATTGATGACTGACAACTTCCCTAAGTTTTGTCGCCAAGTTCAGCTTAGGACCAGCCAGAGAAAGCCGAATATGCACCTCTAATCAATAGTATAAGACACCCCATTTCTAGTTAGACCACCTCCAGCTTCCCCAAGCCAACAGCCTCCACTGGGGGCACACTGGAGCTTTCCCTTTTTTCCACTATAAAGGTTTCCCACTCCTCTGCCTGTGCCACCACACATTGAAGGTATCCAATGGAGGGACTGCTGACATTTGTCCCTGTTGCAACAACACCAGAGAAGTACAAATCACGGTGAATGTCCTGCCTCTCTTTCTGAGGAAAAAGTTGCATGAAGCCAACACACCAGCATCACGCATGTTCCTGGGCACCCCCATACCTGTCTCTCATGCTGTCAGCTCTATCACCATCTGGCCAGATGCTGCTTTCACCTGCTGTTTCATTGCTGTAGGACCCTAAGACATTCAAGATCATTTTACTCCTTAGTTGTTTTTCAGGCTTCGGCCAAAGTCTGTTGCCTACAATGCAGGTTTTGTCCTTTCAAATGACTTGGGAGCAGTTCAGTTTTCACAGTTCAATGAATATGAGCCTTTGAAATATATAACATAAATAGAATGGAAATTTAGCCCATCAGATTTGGCAGCTTCACAAAACGGACCTAAACCTTGTCTTGACTCCTGGATTCCAGTTTCCAGGTTGAGGTGGGGAATGGTATATTTAATACTCATGAGAACCGTTAGAAGACTGGAAAGGGAGCCCAAAGAGAAAGGTTCTGTGGAGAAAGAAGAGGTGAGAAGGGGCTTCTTTCTGCCCTCTGCAACTTCACCCGTGGAGGGAGATAGATTTTTAGTTTGGAGCTACTCTGCATTTCTTCATGAGATAAACTAAAGAAAGAGGTTTCAGTTGCAGGGTTCAGGATCCCCTGAAAGATAAGAGTGAAAGGCCCTCTCATACCTGCCCGCTTCTGTCTCACCTGCTGCCACCACCTCAGGGCAGCCGTCATCGGATCTCCCCGGGGTCATGCGGGAGCCTCTCACCTGGCCTGTGTCTCTCCACCTTGATCAGGTAACTCACCTCTTTCATGCATGTGGGCTGTGCACCCAATAAAATGGAGACTCCTCGACCTGGTACCAAGGCTTTCCAAACTGTGGCTCCCCCGGCCATTCTACCTCAGCTCCAACTTGCTCTCGCTGGAAGACTACAGCAAGTCAGCTACTCTCTCTGCATCTGCGTTCTGTTTTTTAAATGGAGACAAAGGATTATTGTGAGAACCAAAGGAAATAATGGATATAAGCAATTGTAGATTGTCAAGTATTAAAAAAAATTGCTACGGCTATTATTATTACTATTATAAGAACTTAATGATACATGTAAAAATGAGTTTCCTGGTTGTATAGTTAAATACTGTGAATGTTGCCTAAGAGATACGCAGAGGCTCTTTGAGTGGACCATAAAATCAAACAACAAGGAAAGACCTGAGGTGGTGATTAAAAACGCCACTATGAACCATGGCTTGACCACAAGCTTCCTCACGCTGGTGTTAAGAACAGTGCCCGTATCAGTTCTACAGACGTACGGGTCCCAAAGGAAGTTGAGGATCCTCCAGTTGGATCCCGGTGATTCATAGATGGGAAATAGAGGCCCCCAAAAGCTGGGTGGTTTGCCTGAGGTTGTTCAACCAGAGAAGCAGAAGTGCGACTAACGACAATTGGACAAGGCTGTACAGCTTCCAGCGAACATGCTGCTCATACATCACCCCACTCAGGCTCCAGAACCGCTCAGGGATGGACATTATCTATCTCACCATAGTTTCTCAAGTACTCATTTTTCAAACCAGGCTCTGAAGATAGGTTGTGGGGGTTCTTCAAAAAAATAGATTATGGTTATTTTTCCCCCCTCAAACAATGGAGATTGAAATGCCTTCAGAATCCATTTATTGTTTTTATCTGTTTTACATGTTGGGGTATTGTTAAAGATTTCCTTTGAAACAAAGGGTTCTGCTACTGCAAGTGCTTTGAAAACCATTGACCCAGAAGAAAAATAAAATGCTGAGGGAGCAAGGATAAAATTGCATGTGGGGGGGTTTGTGTGTCTGTGTGGAGCTGTGGAGTGTATTAGAGCAGAGGAAAAGTAAATTCATTCACCAAATATTTTCCAAGCACCCAATGTGTAAATGCGTCACCCATGGGAAGTGAACTTCCTGATTCTGCAAGAGTCCACCAGAGGTCTTTCCCACGTCATCCTCTGTTACTAAAAATCCCTCGAAAGGCAGGCACTCCATCCTTGTGTAACTGAGTCATCTCCACAATGCGCATGGCTCTGTCCTCTGAGCACAGATCCCACAAACCCCCCGGAGTGGCTGTGAACACGGGGTAGCTTCTATGTTCCTAAGGAGGATGCTGCTGAAGGGCTTTGATGAGGACACATGTCAGGGAGTCCTTTCATTTCATTTTGCTTTATTTTATTTATCTTATGGCTTCATATCTTAGAAAGAGAAAAGAGAGAGTTCTGGATAATTCCAGACAGTTGGGCTCCCACATTTTTTGTATAAGAAGAACTTCAGGTGGTGCTTTTTAAACTGCCCTGCCCCATGGTCTCTGTAGTAAAAAATACATTTGACAACAGGCTCCAATACGCACACAGACATACACAAATACATAAAGAGATGTATAAAATTGAGCTCATTTTCTTTTCTATTCTATTCCATTCCATTCCATTTTATTCCATGCTACACTCTTGTATTTAAAAAGAAATCTGGAAATCATTAATATATTCTGCATTTTTAAAACATTGATGCAAAAGCAACATTCTGGAAGATGGTGGCTGAGGAATTTTTTTTTTTTTTTGAGGACGATTAGCCCTGAGCTGATATCCATGCCCATCCTTCTCTACTTTATATGTGGGATGCCGTCTCAGCACGGCTTGATGAGCAACGCATAGGTCTGCGCCTGGGATCCAAACCGGAGAACCCTGGGCCGCCAAAGTGGAGCCTGTGAACTTAACCACTATGCCACTGGGTCAGCCCCTAGAGGACTTATCTTAAAGCTGGGTTTGCATCGAGTGTGACAGTGGATTGAGAAAATGTCAATTGACCGTATCAACGAGGGGGGCAGGTGGTGATTATGGTGGAGCTATTCGCCCCCTGCTGGCTCCAAGTCTCTCCTCGGGGTGGCCAATGATGCTGGGGAAGCATCAGCTCCTATTGATCTGACAAACATCAGCTCCCGGCCGTGTCCCCAGAGCAGTGAACTAGATGCGCTGAGCCTTCATGGGCTGTCTAAGGAGGAACTGGGTACTGAGAAGGAGAGGTGGCTTGGGGAAGGGGACCAGGCTTTGCACAGGGGCTCCCAAGGCCTGGGCGAGGGAGAAGTATGGACACCTGCGGAGGTGGACTTGAGTGTGCCATGAAGGCTGCACTCTCCCAGAGTCCATCACAGATTCAGGGGCTGGGTGCCCAGGGAGCAAGTCAGCGAGGAGGAGGGGAGTGAAAGCCAGGAAGGGGCACTTCCAGGCAAGCTTTGTTGATTTTAAATGCACATTCCCTGCATCTTTTATGACAGTCCCCTCTCTACTGATTGATGACATTAGCTGAGCTTTTATAGAAGTCATTATGTCCAAGTATTTTACATTTAAGAACTCATTTAACCCTCATAAGAACCTCGGGAGGGCCGATTTTCTACTACCATCCCTGCTTTTCAACCAAGGAAACCATGGCCTAGAGAGAATAAATTGTCCAAGCTCGACAATCCAGATTTGGCCTCACGTGTCTGGCTCAAGGGCCTGGCCACTAATCTCTGATCTGTGTCGCCTCTGGTGGAGGAGCCCTGCTCTCAGCATGCTGGTGGCAGGGGTCAAAGAGAAGGCCAGTGGAGAAAGAGAGGATAGACTCACCATTCCTAGAGATCCTTGTCTTGGAGCCTAAAGTGTGAAGCACGGATTGATAAAATGTGAGGCTGCAGAGACAGAGGATAGGCATAGTCCCAGAAGGACATCTAACTCCTGCTAGAAATCTCGTGCTTTATTCCTGAAATACTGTTTCTGAAGACCAGGATCAAAGAAGTTTTGGAAAAATTAGAGTTAAAAAAATTAAATAGGCTCAAGCTATGTGGGATTAGCCAACAGCTGGGGAGGAGGAACAGAGCTTGCAACATTCCTCAGAGGTATTTGACCGCCGAGTGTGTTTTGCCCTGAGCATCGATACTCCAGGTTTTCGGCATTCCTCGATAAAGGAAGCGCTGCTGTGGGAGGTGAGAAGAGATTATGGGGTCTACAGCAGAGGCAGAGATATGATCAGTCCTGCATTTTAGAAAGATCACTCCGGTTTCAGAGTGGAAAGTGGATTGGATGGGAGGCCAGGTGAAAGTGTAAGAAGGATGGCGGGAAGACAGGCTAGGAAGCAAATATACTAACATGGGGTACTTGTAGCAGATGTTACGAGGTTGGATAAATCAAAGAAATATTTAGGGGGCAAGATTATGGGACTTTCTGACTGATTGACTATGACAGGTGAAGGAGAGGAGTGGATGGAGATGACTCCAAGATTCCTGACCTGGGTACCAGCCTCATGTGGCTTCTACCACCTTCTACCGCAATGGAGAGGTAATGGAAGATGAGGAATGAAGAGTCACTTGGGGGCACGTGGAGTGTGAGGTGCCAGTGGAAGATTTAGTCTGAGAAGCCCAGCAGAGAGGTGGACATATAGCGACTGAAGTTAAGGACCAAGCTCAGGCAGGAGATTCAGACTTGGCATTAATTAGCATACCAGTGGTAATTAAAGTCATAAAAGAAGTCCCATCATCTAGAGAGAGAGAATATAGATAAGAAGAGGGCCAAGAAAAGGATCCTATGAACCACCAACCTTTAATGGATGAACAGAGAAACAAGAGTGCAGAGAGATGGAGGAGAAAAAACTCCCAGAGGTGCAAATCCAGCCAAGAGAGTTAGGTCACAAAAGCCAAGAGAATAGGGACTGAAAAATATGAACTGGAAAACCATGAGATTTTAAGGGTCCATTCCGCTGTCCACACCCTTGTAGATTGGATCCCTAAAACTCACAGTGGGAGAATCTGTGGTTGAGAAAACACATAAAACTGAGCTACAGTGACAAGATCATGAGTGAAATTTTGACATCATTTAGAGATTTTTTGGTAGCATTTACCAATGCAACAGCATATGATGTAAAATAATTTGCATCTTGTGTTAGTAACAATGTTAACTTGGCGACTGTACTTTTGTGTTTCATGAACAATACTAGGTACTTTAACATATTAAATGAGATTAATGATCTCATTCAATACTTAGCCCTATGGGGCAAATTCTATTTTACTTCCATTTTCCAAATGAAACACAAACACGCAAGAAGCTTGGAATAGTTAAGTGCCCAAGGCCATGCCATTAGTGAGCCACAGAGCCAGAATTCCAAGGTGAATTTGTCACACACACAACCTGGGCCCTTAGCCACTGCTAAATACACTGTGTCATAAATATCTAGTTACAAGTAAATGTCTTTATCACTGGAAACTCTCCAGGAGAGATCCCGCTCAGAGTCTCAGCGAGATGCTTATGCATTCTGCTCACTGCAAAGAATACGCACGCTGGAAACAAGGCTTTAGTTCTGGTTTTCTTACTAATTATTTAACAGCTTCTCAGCGTCATCAGTCATGGTTCTACATTTTTCATCCTAAGATATCGCAAGGAATGCTTTCACATTTGCATAAACTCAATTGGAAATGCCTAGATAAATAGAAAGTAAACTGCGTATGCTGCAATTACGCGTGAGATGTCTTTATGGATGGGGAGGGACTGAAAATATTCTAAATGTAATTGTTTGTACGTGTTGCAGGAAGGAAACAAACCCGGTTGTAGCATCCTAAGGTGAGGATGATTATATTTTGGAGCCATCGTTTTCCGGGAAACAGAGCACACGGATTACAGCCTCTTTTCCTACGTGAACGTTGTCAGAAAGTAGAAAAGCCGAACCTATTCCTTGTGGCTGGCTCGCAGGCGTTCTCTCTGATCCTTCTTCAGCTTGATAAGAAACTAAGGAGCAGACCTCTTGACTTCAGTTTTTAGAAATAGAGAAAAGATTGTATCCTTTTACAACGTCTGTTAGCTCGAAAGAGCTATGAACCACGGCAAAACGGCCTTTTACATTTAGTAATTCGTGTCCCGTTCAGATCAAGGTGACAAATCTTGTGCAAAACAGTTCCCCAGGACTCATATCAGCTTTTTAAGACTTTGGTAACAAAATGTGACGAATTGTTATCAATCCAGCATCGAGGGTGTACACAATTTATCTCGGCTATTAACAAGATGGACAGTCTTCATCTGGCCTAGAATGTGATTATTATTTCTTTTCCCCAGCACACCTCTCGCAAAAGGGAGGACATGCTGCCAACTTAACAGAGCACTCGTGAGCCATCAAAAGAAATGCTTCTGGATTTCTCCATATCTAGAAATCTTAGGATGGATTCGAGGCAGAAGATGAAGGTGTGACATGCGTGAAGAGTTTACTAATATCAAGATTTGTGTAACAAAAAGTGCAAAAGGGCTGCTAATCATTTAGAGGGTTCACATCACCCCCTTTTTGCTTCCTGTGACTAGAGCTTGGGTTTTATCAATCCCTGTCCTATTTAGAACAGCCCCTTCTGGTTGGTTGTGCCAAATCTAACCTCTGTATTTAATTAGTTAACTCGTTGTTTTTCAACCTAAATTTATTCAGACAACATATTAGGCCCTGGGGTCTGAAGCTGAATAAAGTCTGGTCCCTGGCTGAGAAGGTGCTCACAGCCCCGTGGAGAAATCTACCATATGAAGAACAACATTTTGATCCCAGGTAGATTGAGGTAGGCATGTGGGACCAGAAAGAAGAGGCTGGACGATCTGTGGGTCTCTGGGTCCAATCTGATTTCAGAGAGGGGCAGACATTTGGTTTGTAGCAAAGTACAGGAATTGAAACACAGACTCTGCAGTTAGTGAGGCCTGAGCTTGAGTCTCAAGTCAGCCACTTTCACGTGGTGTTTACCTGTCTGTGCCTCAGTTTTCTCATCTGTAAAATGGGAGCAGGACAGCTCAGCACTCACCTCTTCAGCAGTACTGGAAGGATCCAATGAGGCCATGCACGGGAAGCACTCAGCAGTGTGTTTGGAAGAGGGTCATGCTTAAGACCTGCTTTCTGAATGAGTAAATGAATGCCCACTCTGGGACAGCCACACTCTTTGAAATCCCCCGCTAAGCATGAGCTGCAGGAACTGATGGAGTGGAATGCAGAACATGGACCCCCATTCTGGGTAAGCAGCCTCCCCTCTTCCTGTGCCCACACACGTACGTATCTTGGCTCAATATGAGACGGTTTCTTGAGCTCCTCTCTCTCCTGTCCTCCCTCACACCCCTCCACCATTATTGGCACCACCACCTATTTGATTCTCACCTGTGTTAGTCAGGAAAGCTTTCAGTGGTAAATAAAAGCCAACTCAATTAACAGGAGTTTAACCACCTAAGGATTTATTCGTCTCACATGAAACTCTGTTGTGTTGGCAGCCATTAAGGAACCAGCTCCTATTATCTCCCTGTTTGGTGTAAAGTGAAGGAGTGAATGAAGGGCTGAAGGGCACGCGGTGAGTCTGGTTTAAACAGTTCCACCAAGGGACTTCTTACGTTCCAGTGGGCAGACTGGCCACATAGCCACTGCTATTTACAAGAGACTTTGGAAAGGAAGGCAGCAGGCAAAGGAGTTGGAGGTGGCTTTGGGGTTGCCCTGACGTGGTGTCTGCAACACTAGCCGTCCTTCAGGTCCTCACTTAACTACCACCGGTCCCATGAAACCTCTCTTGACAACTGCCATCTTCACTGCTACCCTGTCCCATGAAAGGCCACGGCATTTGTATCCTGCTCCCTATGGTTAAGGCTTTAACACTGACATTGATGACGCCGTCCGTGAGCACATCACTTCACAGGCTATAACATACTTTCTACTGTAATCCCTTCTTTGACTCTGCCAACCGTCCAGTGGTGTGCATCCTTTCTGAGGCTCCAAGGAGGGAACTGCCCCAACCCAACACAGGCGAGATGGTAATTTGGAACCAGAAGTAGGAAATTTTAGTCCTAGCTTGGGGATATTTTGGAATCAAGTAGAACAGGATTCCAATGTTAGTTTGGCCACCTATTAGCTGTGTTAACCCGGCAATTTCCTGAAACCCTCTCAGCCTCAGTTTTTTTGTCTGTAAAATGGAGCTAAAATGTGTGTCACTGCAGATTGCTGTAGGGATGAAGTGACAAAATATATGTAAATATATGATAAATATATGTAAAGAATTTAGCACAAAAAACATACAGAAAGCCATCAAAACATGGTAACTATTATCATTCTTACTGGTTGTACGACCTTAGGCAAGACAAGTAAATGATTTGGGTCTCAGTATCTGATCTCTCAAATAGAGATATTTGAGGATTATGTAACACAAATGTAGGAATGTCCCAACACACATATTTGTTAATCAATAAATATCAGTTAGCTGTGAACTGAATGAATAATTATCCACTGATTCTTTTTTTTTTTAAGGGGACCATATTTTTTTTTTAAGATTGCCCCAAGTACATAGTTGTATTTTTTAGTTGTAGGTCCTACTGGCTCTGCTATGCTGGACGCCGCCTCAGTGTGGCCTGATGTGTGGTGCCGTGTCTTTGCCCAGGATGCGAACCAGTGAAACCCTGGGCTGCCAAAGCAGAGCACGTGAACTTAACCACTCGGCCACGGGGGCAGCCCCTCCACCGATTTTTGATTAATCTAAACTCTATATGTTATACCAAGGCCAAGAAGCCCAGAATCTTCTCACACATACAATACTAACCGTGACGGAGACTTGTTGCGTATGTGCTCTGGGCAGATGCTGTGGTGTCATGACCCCATTTTGCAGATGACGAAACTGAGGATACGGGTGTTTAAGAGCCTTGCCCAGCTTCGGTGTGACTCCAGTTTATCTGACTGCTTAGTTCACCGTCTCCCTGGGCAGCTGTACTGCCTTCCAACAACTGAGAGATTTCAGCCTGATGCTTTGAACCAGTGAGCAGAAATGGAAACAGAAGGAAACGAAATGGAGCTCAAAAGCTCTGATACTAAGTACTATACAGTCCAGCGTCCTCTGGTTGACCAGCAGAGACTAAGACCCCAAGATGTACATGCTTTGCTCAGCTCACCTTCAATGCTGTGAACCAGACAGGACCGGAACTCAGGTCCCAGGAGCGGAACTCAGGTCCCAGAGTACCCTGGACAGCTCTCTTTCCAACAAACCCTTCATACATAGGCCAGCCCGGCAGCTGATGCCCGGAGTGTTTGTCTTCAGCTTTGTTCAAGAGGAGATCTGTAGCCATTTGTTCCGATTTGGCAGCTGGGGCTGCAGAAATGCGTGAGCAGTTAGGAACAGAGTTGCTAAAGCTTCGTAGATGCTCAGATGCTGTGGTCCCCTGGGGGAGTATATTAGGCTTGTGTTTTGTTTCTTTTTTTTCTCTTCTTTTCCAAAAGCCAGATGTGAGTTCATTCATTCATTAGTCAATGTTTATTAAACACCTACTTTGTGCCAACTGCACTGGAGGGCACCGGGGCGGTGAATAGTGGTAGACAAGAACCTAGTTCTTGCTCTTACGGGACTTAGAGTCTAACACACAAAGAGACGACAAACGAGCAAGCACAAATAACCATGGCATTGCAAATGGAAGAGCAATGTTAGGAAGGAAGCCCACGTTATGGTGTGAGAGAGCACCAGGGGCTGTCCACATCCACGTGGAGAAGATCTGGGAAGGAACCTCTCAGGAGGTGACGTCCAGCAGAGACCTGAGGAACCCGGAGAACCAGCCTTGGCCTCCTGACTCTGTTTCCCCTGTGACACCCTCACAGTGTGGGCAGACTGACTGCAGGGACAGGGTGGGTACGCTGGGATCCAGGTAATCCAGAAGCTTCCTGAGTGACAAGAGCCTGAAGTGGCACATTTTCCTTCATTCTCAAACACTAGGTTGCTCTGCCATTGAACAGATACGCACCTGCCATTCATCTTCTGCCTGGGTGAAGGCCGGCTGTCAGCAAGGCAGGCAGAGGGGGTGGCTCTTTGGCAGGAGAACCCTGCTTCCTGGTGGGTCTTCAGGAGAGCAGCAAGGATGCCCTGGCAACGAGAAGCATGTCAGAACCCCCGAGGAAGGAGGGCACAGCTGGGACGGGGCCTCTCCAAGCAGATCTGGGTGCTCTGTCCTTTGGCTCACACAGCATCTTGTCCCAACCTTGCTCACAGCCTGGATCCTAAGATACTGGGCGACTGACTTCCATGTCCGTGTCTCTGGATGGAGGGAGGGTCTCACGTGTAGGGGCCATTTTTAATTCATTCGACGGGCATGCCCTGAGCAGCATCTATGCTCGCCATCTCCCTCATCATCTTCTGCATCTCCCCAGTAAATACATCATCCCAGTACATTCCCATTGCAACAGGAGCAGGGGCTAAAACTTCTACATAAATTATCTCGTTTGAGTCTTAGAAGAAGGCAGTGAGGGAGGCATTGTGCCAATTATTCCCACTTTAACAGAGGAGCAAGCGAAGTTCAGACCTTGCTGCGTGGCGAGTAAGGGTCGAGTTGATGTCTGAACTCGGGCCTGACTCCAAACTGCATGCTGTCAGCTCTGCAGAAGACCACCTGCTCCCTGACATCATGCTTGTCTTTTAGCTCCTGGGGACACCACATCGGGTGGAACTTACCAGTAGTAGCAGCAGCAGCAGCAAGAACAGTAGCAACAGTAGCTGTAAACAGCAGTAGTAGCAATAGCAACACCAGCAGCAACAGTAGTGTCAGCAGCAGTAGGAGTAACAGTAGCAGCAGCAGTAATCGAAGTACTAAGAAGAACAGCAGGGGCAATGGCAGCAGGCACAGCGGGCTCGGTAGTAACACTTTCTGAGCGGCGCCCGTGAGTCAGGCACTGCTCTATGGGATTTACGAGCAAGCGCACTTAATTTCAGGAAAATCCTTAGAGGTGGGTAGTGTTTATGTCTCCATGTTTTCCCTGCGGTGGCTAAGGATCAGAGAAGTGAAGTGCCTTCTCTGAAGTCACACAGCTAGGAAGCAGCATGTTGGTTTTCCATCTCCGTCCTGGCCCTTTCCTCTCTCTGCTCTGCCTCTTTCCAGATTTTCAGGTAGAATGTCCTCACCTTGCAGACTTGGAATGGGAAATCCTAAAGGGGACACATACGGCTATGATTAGAGGCAGGCAGACCCCTGTGTGAATTCCCATCCTCCCACTCGCTGGACAAGCATCTGGGTCTTTGTGAGCTTCCATTCCCCTTACACAAAAGGAGGAAAACAGCAGAGTCTAACTAATCAGGCTGCGGTCAGCGTTTCACAGAACGGAACACATGCTCTGCAGGACCAGAGTGGCCCGTGCCCTGTGGCTCCTGAGAAGAGGCTGGAGAGAAACGTAACCGAGTCCAGTTAACAGCCAGCAGCCCCATGCTCTCCAACAAAAGGGCCTTAGCCCCAGGCTGCAGGCCTCCAAGGCGGGAGCTCTCTGCACCCCAAGGCAGCCTCTCCTAAGCTGGCATCTTGGAGAACTCCTCTCCACGAGGCGTTTAAACTCAGCTTCGCTCATCTCCACCCTTTGTGCCAGGGATCCACACAGCCCAAGTGAAAGGCCTCTTTGAGATGAATGCCCCATCCTCTGTCCCCTCCATGTTCCAAGGACCCATCACCAGGCCCGTCAGCCCTGCCCACACGCACTCAGTCCTCCCTCTCCTGCAAAGCACACAGTCTTTCCTTTCCCTCTCTGTGTGGAGTCTGGAAACGCCCCCGGCAAAGGCACTTCTTGGGTCCTTGTGGTCCAGCCACCATCTCTGTCTCTGGCTCCCTCCTGCCATCCCCCTTGCGTACCCTGCACCCCTTACCCTGCCTCATCCAGAGGCAATTACTCTCAGCGCCTGACCTCGCCTACAGTTCTCTCCTCTGTGCTTCTGCCCACACTGTGCCCTTTGCCTGCACACTCTTCCTCATCCTGCACTGATGCCATTCACTTCTTCAGCATGCCAGCACCCGGGCCTTCTCAGGAAGGAAGCAGTGATCACGCCTGGAGGGGAAGATGGTGTGGTCAGGGGAGGCCTCCTGGAGGAGGTGCCCTCTATCTGAATTGGGAACATTGAGAGGGTGTTAGCCTGGTGAAGGCAGAACAAGGGTCTGAGCAGAGGGAACAGTGTGAGAAAGGGCAGGGAAGGGAGAATAGCTGGTTTGGGGGGGAAGCATCTTCCATCCGGAGCTGCTTGTGTGTGTGAGGAGAGAGGCTGGAGCGCTGGGCAGGGGCTGGATGCTGGTGGACTGCTCCTCTGTGCTGAGGGAAAGCAAAGCTGACTTTACTCTGTACATGCGTCTTGGAAGTCTTCTAGGAAAGAGCTTGCCCCACTCTCCTTGAAGTACTACTCTGCATGTTTTAAACCTCCAATGAAATTCTGGCATCTCTGAGGACCCTTCCATGCTCCTCTCTCAGGGGGCCATTTAGGAGAGTGGATGCTGGAGGAAGAAGCCCTGAGTCGAAGTCTAGGCCCTGCCACCCACTTGCTGTGTGACTTCAGCGAGTTCCTTAGTCTCTCTGTGCCTCAGTTTTCTTGTCTATAAAATGGAGGCACTTGTAACCCACTTCACAGGGGTTTTCAGGCAATTAAATGACTTAGTATATGCAAGGCACATCCAATATAATATTTTTATGTTTGTTTTCCCCACTGGAATGATAGATCCATGAGGTTGAGGACTGTGTTTTGTTCACTGCTGCATCCCCGATGCTTAGAGGAACACCTGACACTTCAGTGTTTGATGAATAAAGAATAGAATACCATACAATACAGTACAATACAACATGACATGACATGACACAACACAATACAACACAAAATAAAGCAATGTAATCACAATTACCTACTTGTTTGTCTTCTCATCCAGCTTCTGCTCCCGCAGGATAAAGGCCTTTGCCGTTGACCTGGTGAATGAATGAATGAATAAATGAATGAGTTACTGGAAGAAGCGGTTCATAAATCACAGTGTGCATTGCAAGAACTGGTGGCGGGATGGCGGGATGGTTTGCTGGCACAGCCTGGGCCTGGTGAGCCCCTTGGGTGGTTGTACGTAAGGGCCCTCCCCAGGTGTCTCTGAGTGGCTGGGGTGGGCTTGCCATTAATGGTCTCCTCCGCCTGCAATGCCACCCAGTGCCTGCTGCCAGTACAAGGACATCTCTTCAATTGGACTTGGGGACAATGGATGGCTCTCTGTCTTGTGTAGCGATGGCCCAGCACTGGCATCACCAACCTCACCGTCCACTCTGCAGGAGCTCAGACTTTGGGGAACCTTTGCCCTTACTTTTCAGAGGCTGCCTTCCTGCCCACGTGCCACAGGCCCATCCTTCATCCTCCATCATTCACGGCTATGGCCTTCCAGCTGAAGATGTGGCCACCCGTTTGCACTCATCAAACACACTGCTCTTTTGAAAGCAAATGGGACCATTTTATGCAGCTTGAGACAGCATGGCGCAGGATGGGGGCCTGTGGAAGGTGGGACCCTGGAAAGGGGATTGGAATGTCCAGCCATGTGAGGACGGAGGGAGATGGAGAGAACACAGGAGGTAATAGGGGACAGACAGATGTCTCTGAGTTGACTGTTTCTGAAGAAAGAGCTGGAAAATCATTACAGCTGCACTGGTGATTTTTTTCTCCCTTATTATGAATGTGTTTCCCCACCATCTTCTCACACCAATTCTTTAGGACAGACATGTGGATTCTGAGACATGCGCACCTTGCCCCTCACTCCTGTCCCAGTGGGATCTGGGGTTGGTGCCCCAGCTAGGGAGGAGACTCCCACGCCGCCACCACTTGTTTCCCCTGGGGGCTCAGGCTCTGCCTCAGCCTCCCTCTCCTGCCTTGGGTCTCAAGCTCTCTGCCCTGGATCTCTCTGCTTTCCCACAATATTCCTAAGTGTTCCATCCCTTTTGTCCCTGTCCCCTCTCTCTCTGTGCATTTCTCTTTTCTGACTCTCTCTGCGTCCTTACTTGCTCTGTGTACCCCTTCTCTTTCCCAGTTCTCTCACTGTCATACCCTTCTTCCTCTGACTCCACCTTTTCTCTCCTTTCCCATTTTCTGTGTCTCTCTTTGGTCTCTGGATGTCTTTATCTCAGTCATTTGCTCATTAGTAGATTCATGGAAAAGATGTGCACAGCACCCATTTTGGGCCGTTCACTCTAGCAGGCCCTGGGGATACAGTGGGGAATTGATACATAACAGGAAAGACAGTTATTGATCAGCACTGCCTCTCCCCTCCTTCTAGCTCACGACCCCATTTTCCTCGGTCCCTGTGGATTAACGTAAAGAGCGTGATGCTCAGTTACACAGACGTGGATTTGAACCCTGGCTGCCTTGCTCGTACCTTGTAACCTTGGGCAAGGCTCTTGACCTCTCTGTACTTTCCTCAACTTCGTGCATAAAATATTTGGAATATTGTGTACTTAATAAATCTGTCACCATCCCGTCCCTTCCTCTCCTCTCCAACTCAGCAAAGACTAGCTGAGTGCCTGTATTATGACAGACATGTGCTAAATGTTATTAATTACACAAAGTTACATTTTACTTTCCAGGATCTCACATTCTAGTGGAAAAGAGAGAGAATGTATCAATTAGGCTGTAACCCACGTACAATCTGTGTCACAGGTGGTCCAGCTCCTGCATAAAGTCGCAGTGAAAGAAGCCTGCCTCGGCCATGAAATGACATTTTCCAAAAGCAGTTTCAAAGCTTTTTGTGTCTTTTGGGGAACTTTGACAGGAACCCAATTTGCAATTCACATCTGCCTTTCCCAAATCTTCCTTGAACCCCTGTTCACTCAGGTTCTGCACCTGCTCCAGAGTCTCTCCCATGCCACTGCTCCCAACACCTTCATTAAGCTTCCAGGCCATCTAACTCTCCCCTTCCCTTCCTCTTCTCTTTATTCTCCTGCTCGTCATATATAAATTGGCTCAGCCTCTGTGGCTAAGATCTCACCCTTTTCCCGTCATCTCTCATGTTGGGATTTTCTTTACCCTGTTCTTCTTCCTTGACATGAACTATACCTTATACGTAACCTGGCAAGTACTTGCCTTTAATGAAGAAAACCGTTGAGTACAGGGGTGAGGATGAGAAGCACGTGCTTGGTGAATCCTGCCACGTGACAGTGCTAATGCAAGACACGTCTAGATAACCGCATCTAATAGTTAATAACTCCCCAGAATATGCCGCCTTCTCCTACGTTGTCCTTCAAAACTCAGAAAACTCCTGCAGAGTGAGCGTGGGGTGCTGAGTTGCATCTGTTTACCTCCTCCTTCTTCTCGCCAGAGCAGAATTAACCCATCCACACTGCAGAAGACTGTCAAGCCATGAGCAGAGGTGGGTTGCTTCCCTCTCTGCCACTGCAGATGAGCAAGAAAGCGCATGGGTTTAAGGGCAAAGGGACACCGCCCTGAGGGCAAAGCGGACATTGAAATGGAGGCAGAAAATCATGATGAAATGAGCAGAAACTGATCACCCCACGCTCGGGCTCAGATTTCCTCTCGACTTCCTGCCCAGAAATTTTGCTTATTTATTCTTCAAATCACTTTAAGTCAGAAACTCACTGAGGTGATAACAGTGGTTAACCGTAAGATTTGGGGCGATCTAAATTTCCTCTTGACAAACGTGTATTTTGTATATTTCCAGCACTAAGCATAAATAAAGCCAAGAAAAAAAATATTTGTAAGAAAG